AATAATTATATCTCTCAGGGGGATGAGGGATGTGTGCTTAGAGACGACGGCTGTAATGTGGATGTTCAATGTAGGTGAATAGTCAGTGTTGGAGGTGGGACAGAAAGGAGAGGGACATTTCAACAGACCCGTGGTGAAAGTGGAAGCGTGGTGAAGGGAGCCAGCGTGATGGCAAATGCTTGTAATCCCAGTACCCAGGGAGACTGAGGCAGTAGGAGGATTGCAGGTTCAAGCCCAGACTGGGCAGTGTAACAACTTCATGAGACCACTTCTCAAAGTAAAAATAAAAAGAGAGCTGGAGATGTAACTCAGTGTAAAATCCCTGGGTCCAATCCCCAGTAGCATGGGAATGCACACACACCCACAAACACAGTGCAGAAATGCCGTGTGTGTGTGTGTGTGTGTGTGTGTGTGTGTGTGTGGATGCCCAACAAAATCCAGACACATGGGTGACATGGACAGAAGAGTTTCTTGAGCTGAGAGATTTATACTTCGTTGGTAACAGTACGTAGCAATTCATGGAGGATGCCGGAACACATAGTGGGGCCACCATTTGTGAGGAAAGTCTAATTAGTTGACGTGGAGATTGGGGAGAGTGAGGCTGGTGATGTGGAGATTTATTGCATGATCTGGGGGTGGTGTCCTAAGAACAGAGGTGGTAGAAGAGATTTGGGAAGGAGAAAGGGGAAAGAGGTCGTGGAGGAAATGGCAGGACATGGCGTTTTGTAAAGGACCACATCACAGAGAGGGTGAGGGAGGAGGAGAAAGCCAGGACAGGTTCTCTGGAATGTGCCTGAAGGAACATGGAAAGCTGGTCAGTGGAATGCAGGAGCTTGTGGATATGAGTTGGGGTTGATTTGCCAGTGGAGCACATGATAGGAGATTGATAGCCATGGTTACTCGTAAGGGGCTAGTGCTTGGGAGGCCTGGGGCTGGGGCTGCAGAATGGAGGGGCTGTGTTGGGAAAGTCATCAGAGGGTGGGATGAGGAGAGGCAGGAGTTAAGAGGAGGAGTAAGAGGGGAGGTGGGTTTCTGCATTAACTGGTAGTAAACTAGACTGAAGAGTGAAGAAATGACAGTTGGTGATCTTCATGGAGGCGGTGGTATCATGCTGAGAGTGGAAAAGTCATGGTGGGGAATAATGGGGAGGGGGGCCTGACACCCCTGGGATAGATGGACAGGTCGGGAATTGTGAGAGTGGTGGTTTTTTTGAGTGAACTTTTAATCAGTTATCTGAAGGGTAGTTGAAAGTTTCTATCAGTGAGAGATTTAATGCAAGTGAGTGTTTGAAATCAGCACCACAGACTTAGAAACACTGAGGATGAGACCCACTAGGACTGAATGATTAAATAAAAGAGGAGAAGACAGTAGTAGAAATCTGGAATTAGAAAGCTAGAGGTAAAGAGGAACTGCAAAGTATTTCTTGTATTTTATGGAAGAATTGGTTATAACTATTGTGTCATGTAAGGTGTGATTGACAAATACAGTGAATGTTTAAATTTAAAAAGTAAGAGGGAAAGACACATTGCTATTGATGCCTGCCATCAATGCTGAGTCTTGCTTTGAACACACTGGTCCCATCGTTCTGGCCACTTTCTGAAGCAGTTCTGGAAGTCCTCTTTCGGGAGTGTCTGTCATTATGCCTTTATAACTGCCTAGGTGTCCTGAACCAATTCAAAACATTTACCATTCATGGTCATTCTGATGTTGAGGAAGAGCCAGAAGTTACACAGTGTCAGATCTGATGAATACGGTGACATTGGACACAACGTCTTGTTTTCACAAGCCTGCCTTTTTGTTGGATGGCACTAAGCAGCAAGCAGCACCTTGTATTTTTACTGCACCTGAAAAAGACACTCATGAAAAAAGACTTCTAGAATGGCCTCAGAAATCAGCAAAATTGATGGGCTAAGGATGTTGTAAGTGAGGGGAGTAATTTTGAAGGTGACTCGGGACAATGTATATTTTACTGTACAAAGCTTTTTTTAATGAAACATTTACTGTCTATTTTGATCAAACCTCATATCTTAGAAACTCTGGGAAAGGGCTTTTAAATAGAAGTAGGAGCAGTAATAGTGTCAAATAAGGCTGATGAAGATGAGAACTCCAAAAGGGTATTGGGTGGAATGAATCAGATGGGAGGAGAGAAAGGGAGTGGGCCACGGGGCTAGCCCTCTTCTTATACAACACTCTTTTTAACCAGCTCAGCCGTGTGAAAAATGTTCATTTTACCATCGTTCCTTTCCATCTGTGGTTTAGTTTTTCTTTCTTCTTTATTTAGTCTCTAAGCTTTGTGTTTCCACGGTCTTTATTCCTTTCATGTATTTCCCTGACTTCAGGTTGTTCTAGATATAATAGGGCCCTAGAGACCTTTGTCTTTTTACCGTGCTTCTGTATAAATGAATCAGACTTGAATTAAAATTTGAATCACTCTCTGAGGGTCCTCGACTCAAAAGTATAATTCTGGGAATAATTGCTCTTCATGCCTTGACCTACCTCGACAATACCATTTCGGTCTGATCTGTAGTTCCAATGTAATTTAAAACCAAAACCCAGCCCTAGTGTCATGCTTCATTTTGGAAAGTACAAGTAGTAAGGTTAGGGCTTTGAGACTCCCTAATGGGTCCCCATCACACACGGGAGGTCTTTAGTGGCTGAAAGTGAAAAATCTTTATATTGGAAAAGTTTTGCTCCTAATGTTACTTTGGTTATGAGACCATATTTACCCCTCAGCTAGAACCATCAATGGTGGACAGGTCCTTGCCTAGGACTTTGTGACACGTGACTTCATTGTAGATGTCCATGGCCGCCATTTCTAAGATTATTTGAAAGGACATCAACTCAGGCTGTCCAAATTCCTCCCCAATCACTGTTTTCCTTCATAGTCTTGGTTCTCCTGGAGGACATTATGTTAAGTAAAACAAGTCTGGCCCAGAAAGACAAATACTGCATGTTTTTTCTCTTGTATACGGAAGCTAAAATGTTGATCTCAAGAAAGCGGAGAATAAAGGAGAGCACAGGAAGGTTATAGGGAGGCCCAGGATGGAGAGAACATGGATAATGGGTACTGAAGCATAGTGGGACAAGGGGAATAACTATTTTTGGTAGGGAGGATCAAATGCAAGCCTCAAGCATGCGAAGCATGAGTTGTACCATTGAGCAACACCCCAGCCCTGGAAGAATGACTTCTACTGTTCTGTAGAACAGGAGGATGGCTAGAGGTCAATAGCAGTTAATTGAATATTTCAAAACAAGTGGTAGAGAGGATTCTGAATGTTCCCAGCATCCACCAAAAACTGATACAGTCTGAAGGGACAGATGTGCCTAATCAGATCGTTATGCGTGCTATACATGTTCTGCAGTGTCTCATTGTACCCAACTATGTACAGTTACTGTAGGTGTACTAAGATTGAAAATACATTGAAATATTGAAGTGAATTTAAAAATAACTTCAAAAAAAAGAAAACAACGTTCCTTGGCCCTCCTTTCTGTACCCACTGTATTCACAGTGGTAGGTAGAGGCAGACCTGGGATTCATGGAGGTGACAGGCAAGACAGAGTTTGGATTCACTAACAGGCCAGATAGAGCAGCTTCATGCCCCTAGGCCAGGGCGCCAGGAGAGCTACAGTTCTCAGAAGACACAGGAGACCAAAGAGGCCTCACTCTTTTAGGAGGCTTAGGCTGTTTAAAATTCCTCTTTAATTTAAAATAGCTTAATTTCCCCAACAGCCCTGAGAAGTGCGCTGCTCCTCTTCCCATTTTACAGATAAACTAGTTGGGGTTCTGCAGACTGCAGAAGTGATAGGTTTACTGCAGACAAGTAGACCCAGGCAGGACCTGAGCTGGCCTGCCTGGTTCAGAACCTCTTTCTGGGTGCCACATTGCCCTTCAGAGGGACAGGAGTGGACCATGGCTTATTTTGTTGTTTGTTGTTTGTTTTTGTTTTGTGCTATTGGGGATTGAACCCAGGACTCCCACACTGAGCTACATCCCCAACCCTTTTTTAATTTTTAAAACATTTTATTTCGAGACAGGGTCTCAATTGCTAAGTTGCTCAGGTTGTGCTTGAATTTAAGATCCTCTTGGCTTAGCCTTCCAGTGCTGGGATCTCAGGTGTCCACCAGCACGCTCAGCTCCATAGAGAGCTATTTAAGGGATGTATCTAAAAAATCCAAGCCCCCATACAGTACTTCTCTGATTGCCCTTCTTCTCTTCCCCCTCCACTTGTCTGTGTTTCGTTGTTTGGGTTGATAGACCCGTCCTCACCCAGGAGACAGTGTCTGTTTGCATCCAAAGCAGAAGGAATTTCAGCATCTCTGGGCAAGCTGGCCTGTCTCTTCCCTGCATTCCTTCTGCGTGGGGGGTGGGGCAGGCAGTGCACAACTGTGGCTGTCAGGGCGAGAACACAGCTGCAGTCACCCGCCAGTTGACAACCTGGCATGTGGTGTCATGGTGGCATTACCCAAGTGTGTCTGGCTCAAGCTGCGGCATGATTGGCATTTATCAGGGTCACATTTGGGAGAAGAATTCTGTGTCCTTTGTAGGAACAGTTTTGCAATGCTTCATATTACATTGGCCACATGTTCTCATAAAAACACTGGGTCCAAGCCACAAGGCTGTAGGGTTGATGCATATCCTGCCCCTGTGGGAGGGGTTCTGGTTGCACCTTGACCCTGAAGGCTGCCATTGCCTGGCAGCTCTTTGTACACGGCTCTACTGTTGTCCTTGTGCTAATGAGGCAAAATTAAATATGATACACATTTTGTTCACTAACAATGCTAAGTAGAGAAAAAAGGACCACAAGGGTAATAAATACATCATTAATAAATTTGGTAGTGATGGCTAATAGATTCTTACCTTCAGAAAAGTAAGACACTCCTTTGTAACAGCTAAGAATAGCAGATGTAAATTCCTGCTAACTTCTTTTTTTAAAAAAAACAAAACATAAAATGATGAAGTGAAACTAACACATAGTATTTCCTTTTTTGTTATGTTGCAGAAAAAGCCACTGTCTGCAATAATAAAGGAAGTCTGTGATGGGTAAGTGTTACTTCATCTTCCTTCAAAGCACAAAGACATGTAAGTTGACAGGTGAAATTTCCAGTGGGATAACAGATATTATTCATCAAATCATAAATTGAATATTAATTACAAATATGATTCTTAACTTACTGGGTGACCTTGCCAAATCGCTAAGAAATACCGTATAAAAGTTACAAATCCTTTTCCACCAAAATTGTGCCAGGGCTCCTCGCAGAGTGCAAGTGTCAAGTGGCTAGGTGAGGGAGGAGTACGTGGGGCTTGGTTTTATTTGGTTTTACTTTTAGAAAGTGATATTTCTATCGTGCCACCCAGCAGGGAGCTGTCTAATGGCTCCCAAGGGTAGATAACGGACTCCATGTAGTATAAACTGAGGGATCCTTCCCGTCCCTGAAGAAGATGGACAAATTTAAAAGACACGTATCTGTGGGCCATTTCACTATGACATGAAATTTCACAGTGATGTGGCTTTCGTACTTCTCTTCAGCTGTTCTGCAATCCTAGGAAAAGCACACATGAAAGTTGCATGAGATCTTTTGACTTATAAAGCAGGCTGGAAGCATACTATTACCTGGGATTTGTATAAGACCTGGGATGCTTAATTGGAGTGTTCTCATCTGCATCAAGCATTCCTACTGGGGACTCTAGAGTTCAGAGACAATTGAAATGTGCTAGGTATCAAAAATGTAAATTGCCATTCATTTCCTTTGTTTTCCTCTCTCTGCTTTCGTCCTGCCAAATAGGGAAGAATGTTGCAGTTTGTATTTAGATCCCTCACTTCAGGGCTTGAAGATGAAACGCTTAAGTGTTGAACTAGGCCTGGAACGTATATGAAATTATTGATCTGGTGGACCAGTGCCGTTTTGTTTTGGGATGTGCATTTTGGTGTATATTGGGACTGTCCCGATTCTAATCACTGGCTGTTTGTTGAATTCATCTAATAGATGAAAAGCTAATAGATAAAAGCTAATAGAAACGAAAATAACCATTTTTGTTGTTCTGATCATTTTATGCTTGTTTTTTCAGGTGGTCTCTTGCCAACCATGAATATTTTGCACTGCAGCATGCTGACAGTTCAAACTTCTACATCACAGAAAAGGTAGGTTGACTATGTTGCTTTACCTGAGAAAGTTATATTTAAAGAAAGTAAATCATGGCTGATGTTTTCTCAGTTCAAGACTCAGCATGCTAGCCTAAATTTTACATCTCTATAACCCATGAGTATAGGGGCTACAAAGCAAACAACTTCTGTTTTAGTGACACAAGATGATATTTAACCCATTCAAGAGTGAAGAACAGTTATGTTTCCCAGTCCTGTGGAGTAAGCTGCGTTTTATTCTAACAGTGACTATGTTAATGACCTCTCTTTCTTACTGCTTGCTATAAACATTTATTTGATACATAATGACTTAGCTCTCTTTTCTTGAGTTTTTTTTTTTATTCCCCCACTTTAAAAGTTTTTACTTAAAAGTGAGACAATGACAAAAGAAACCTTTTGAAATGTGGCATTGTGTGGGCACTGAGAGTGTTCTGTGACTGTTGGGGACCGGCTTTCTTCTTGGGTGACTTTATCATCTTTAGTAAGTTCAGGTGACAAGGAGAGATTCTGAAGACTAAAGTGACCCCGGAAGCAAATAGAATTAATATCGAAATGCTCCCTGGTGCAAGAAGGGAAAAACAGTGTTATTTAACACAGACAGCATGGTGGCAGTAATTGAGCCAGGCGATTTTTTTCTTCAGATTAATCTGTGATGTAAAACTACTGGTTTTGTTTTGTTTTGTTTTGTTTTTTGTAACAGATAAGAAGCTGAATCTTTGAGGTCAAAGACTGGTGCCATACCCTTGAGTCTTCAGTTACTAAGCAAATTTAGACCTTCTGCTTCTGTGATTTGTCTTTTGGAAATTTCTCAGTTGAGTAGTTGGCTCAGTTTGTGAGAGAGCTCACTAAACTGCGTAGGAATCAGTAACTGACTTCATGGAACATGACTGGTGGGGTTGATGTGGAGGGAAGGAGTGGCCCAACGTCATGAGGCAAGGCGGCCTGTGCTGGAAACGGAAATAGGGGCTGTGCTCTGAGAGAAGAGAGCATTCGGTGGCCTCAGGCTCTGCTACACTTACTTTGTCCTAGTTGGTGCCAGTAAGTAGTCCCAAGAGTGGCTGTAATGAATGCGCGCGCACGCGCACGTGTGTCTGTGTGTGTGTGTGTGTGTGTGTGTGTGTGTGTGTGTGTTTTAGGGATTGATCCTACGATCTTCACACTGAACTACATCCCCAGCACTTTTTAAAAAAATTTTGAGACAAGTTCTAACTAAGTTTTCCAGGCCAGGCTTAAAGTTGTGATCCTCCTACCTCAGCCTCCCAGAGTGCACCACTATGCCTAAGTGTAGTGGCTGTCCTTTTATCCATGAACGCAGTGATGGTGGAAGGTGGAAAGGTAAAAGTGTCCTGCTCCCATCTGTACCTCACCTGCTGTTTCTTGGAGAAGGTGTGTGGGCTTTCACTTAGCAGCAGTGTGCTGGCCTCAGAACGCTCCTCGGAAACTGCTTCATTTTTTCCAGATGGACACAGAATTTTATACCTTATCGCGTTTTGCTCTCCACATTGATTGCTAGAAAACAGAGCAGTACTGGGAGGATTAGATTTCCCGGCAGGTACTGGTTAATTCATTTGATTCATTCTGTGAACATTTAGTTTCCTGTCTATATTCTCTTTGCTCCATTTTTTTTAATAGCTATCCTTTATTTTATACAAACTTTGCATGCTAGTCTTGAGATAAAACAGATGTAAGAATTAAATGTTAGCAGTTAGCTATATCACCATGGTTTCATTAATTAACCATCAGAGTTGAAATCAGTTCATTTGGCTTCTGTAAGCACTAAAAATGAAGATAGTTCAGAGATTGTATCACCTATGTTGTTTTTGAAATATTTGTTTCAAAAGCTCACATATACAATGCATGTAGATCGTACTGGAGTTATGTCCCAGGTTGTGGTAAAAAAGCTGTGAGCCAGGAGTAGCCCTACCTTTGATTAAAGTGAGCTGGTCTGTGTGACTTACTGGCTGTTGTGTAACCTGTCATCATCCCCTGGACACCTCTCCTTATTGGAAAGTAGAAAGAATGGGATTCTCAGACTTCACACAATGTGAGCATTGCAGATTTTAGCTGGGAGTAGTGGCACGCGCCTGTAATCTCAGCATTCTCGGAGACTGAGGCAGGAGAAGAGCAAGTTTGAGCCTAACGTGGACAATTTAGCAACTTAGTAAGACCCTATCTTAAAAAAAAATTATAAAGGGCTGGGGCTGTAGCTCAGTGAGAAGACTCTGGATTTAACCCCCAGTACTGCAGATGAAACAAATACAAAACAAAACAGAACACAGATCTTTCAAATCTTAACCCTGGCGATTGATACTGCGTGGGCCTTGACTGTGTCCTGGGGTTTTCTTCATTTTTAAGGAGACCTTCAGGTCTTCTCACTCTGAGTGCCCAGGAGCCCTCAGGGGAATTCCCCAGGTCTCTTCTCTGAAGAGCAGGGCTGCTGTGCACCACTGTGGGGCTGTGCTGCACTCAGAGTAGAAGTCACCCCAGAGTTTGATTAAGAATGCTTGTGCCCTGTTCATTGGTTCCTGGAATAATTTAAAAATTAATAATATCATATATAATGTTGCTTCCTTTTTCCTAATCAAAATTCATATATACTCAGAAAATTCAAACTACTAAGAACAAGGGGGCAATTTATTATTTCATGAGGCGTCTTAGTCATTTTCAAGTCAAATCTTGTTTGGCTTGAGAAATTCAGAGGGAAGGCTGAGTTTCACGGGGTCTGGCCACTGAAATCTGGCAGTAGGTCTGGTCTTCCATGGGTGGTGGCAGAGATTATTCTTTTATTAGGAACTGAGGGAGTAAGAATGCTATGCTTCTCAATCATAGCCCTTTTGTTTGTAAATAAAATGCCGTGTCCTTCTCCTGCAGCTGTTGCTGTAGGCTCAGCTCTGTGTGTGTGTGTGTGTGTGTGTGTGTGTGTGTGTGTGTGTGTCTCTCACAGAGCTGAGCTTACACAGGGCAGAAGATGAGGGTGAATCCCTGCTTCCTGGAGCCAGACAGACCTGGGCTGGGCTGTCCTCGGCGTGCTAGTAGAGTCCAGCTAGTTTCTTTCAAGTCTTCTAAAAATAGAGACATTTTTCCATACTTAAAATAATGTCGTTAGCAGGCTCTTGGTTACTTACAGCCCAGTGAGTTGTTAGGTAATATTTGTATCACCAGGGTAACTAGTGACTAATTTTTGAAACTTGTGCATGCCATTGGTTACTGATTTTCACTTGCATGTGAGATGGTCTTCCTCCCTCTACCAGAGATAAAAATCACCTGTCATTTCAAAGGGGACAAATTCTTCAGCTCCAGCCTAAAGAAGATGTAGTGACTGAGGGGCACCTGTGATTCTTTTCTAACATTCTCAGGAAGACTCCTCCCCTATTTTTCTCAGGTTATTCAAACCCATTTTCAGCAATAGTGTTCATTTGCTTATTAGGCCATTAGCAGGTTTTTCAGTGCAGAGAGGACAAGAAAATATCCTCTTAAGTAGCCTTCTGCAGAAGCATAGCTTGTGAATGCCTTAGAGAAAGTTAAGATTCATGTATATGCCAGTGCAAATTCTGTCCATGAAACTTATATATCTCAGGGTGATCTCAATAAAAGAGGAAAGGAGGATGGGAGGGAGGAAGGAAAGGAAGGAGGGAGGGAGAGAGACAGAGAGAGAGAGAGAGACAGAAGAGGAGAGAGAGAATATAAAACTTAAAAAGTAAATTATGTGTTTCTGTGGAATTTCTTTTGAATAAGAATTCAAAAGGATCAAGATGCAGTACGTTCATGGACCAACTCCCCACTGTGAGTGTATTTTTTATGAGTCATAAACATATACAAATAAAAGAAAAAACTTGCAGGGAGCGAGTGCTCAGCATTTAGTTTTTTCATCATATTCTAAGGATGTGGGCATTGTCTTCATTTTAATAAGAAAGTGAGCCTGAGAGAATTTATACCAAATTAGCCTGTGTAGATCACTCAGATCAGAGGGGCCAAGCTGATATTTCAACCCAGAGGGGTTCAACTGTGGAGCTTTGCCTGCCACGTCTTCCTCCCCATCCTCTCATCTCGGCCCCCAGCTGCTTATGATGCCAGTTTTGGCTGATGTCAGCCTCCAGGATCCTAGTGAAAATTTCTTCAAGAAATCAAACACAGAAATTACAGCTTGTGGGCCCTGGTTCCGTTTCAGTCTGTGGGTCCCTTGTGCAGATGAAGTGGGGGAAGTTGGAATAGGCACTGGTCTTCCACTCACTGGGGATTCTCAACATCTTTGCCTTTGCTGTGGACTGTGGCACTCTTTGTCATAGCATAATTGTGTTCCTGTTGGCAACGTCGTTTTCAGGCAAATGGAAAAATGGCCTTACTGCACTGAACACTCCATATGCAGAAAGATGGGTCTGCAAAAAGTTCAGGGTGTGCTGGTGGAGGCGCCGGCTGAGGTTTTCGGGTACGACTCCAGGGTCGGTGATGAGCAGCAGTAGCTTACTTCATAAATTACTTATCTCCTACTCAAAGAAATAAGCTAAGCTTCACCTGGGTCTTCTCTGCTCAGGGGACCCCAGGAGCCTTTGGGAAAACATGGCATCTCCTTTGTGGGAGATGCCTTTCCTGCCTTCACTGCCCCACGAGTGTTCTGGGCTGTCACAAATATGAGCTTTCCAGAACCCCTGGGCTTACAGGACTGTGTGTCCCCTGGGATATAAGCACCCCATCCTCAGATTATTGTGTGGAATTTAGTTCTGTCTCCATCATGGATTGAAGCGCAGAGATTCCGTAAGGGAAGGCCTGTGATGGAGAGAGAAAGTTTCTGGCCCTGATTTTCATCTTGGTTTTCCATTTCCTGTCTCTGTGTCCTGTGAGAGGACCTGCCTCCCTTCCCTTGACTGAAATTCTTTTATGATCATCTTTGTGACTCCTGATCTGAGAGCATTCTCTAGGGTGGCATTTTAATCAAACAAATGTAAGCCCAAGGAAGTGACACATTTCCTAATCCAGCAACATTCCCTGTTTTGTTTTGTTTT